GCCGCTCTTGCGCAGCCGCTGCGTTGTGTAGTGGTCCCTTTTTCCCCGCGTCTGGCCGGCGACACTTGCGCCGCGATCTCCGGCCTCCGCACGTGGCACGACTTTTTCCGACGCCGTGCTGGTGCCCGGTCGCGGTCGCGACCCCAAGCAGTTCCCCCCCTGGCCCAGCGGTTGCTAGCTGCCGACGGCACCCCCTCCGTGAGCGCCGCGCGGCCCGCCCCGGCCAGAGGCTCTTTCTTGTTAGCTGTATAGCTTTGGACGGCGCGCGGCCCGTCCATTTGCGCTCGCGAACAAAAAGTATCCCCACCAGCCCATCCAGCAGCCAGCCATTATACCCGGACGAGTTGCCTTGATAAGGAGCGTGGGGGGGCACGCAGAGGAACCAAGGGCAGGGGAAACCGTCATGCCCCCAAAAGAGGGGGATGGAGGAGAAATCGGAGGAGGATGGGGATGCGGAGGGGGGGGGGGGCGAGGAGGAGGAGGAGGAAGAGGAGGAGAGGAGAAGGAGGACGAGGAGGAGGACGAGGAGAGGAGGACGAGGACGAGGAGGACGAGGAGGATGAAAAGGAGGTGGAGGAGGGCGGAGGAGGCAGGAGGAAGGAGGAGGAGGAGACGACGAGGAAGGAGGAGGAGGACGACGACGACGACGAGGAAGGAGGAGGAGGAGGAGGAGGGGGAGGAGGAGGAGGGAGGAGGAGGAAGAGGAATAGGCGGAGGAGGAGGAGGAGAAGGAGGAGGAGGAGGAGGAAAAGGGCGAGCAGAAGGGCCAGTGGTTTCTTGGGTGCCTCCCGGAGTCTCTTCGGATGTCTTTTGTGAGCTTCTTGAAGGCCTGTTGGTGTGTCTTGGCGGCCACTTCGCGGTCCCGAGGGCCTTTTTGAGCGTCTTGGGTGTTTCGGGGAGCCTCTTTGGGCCTCTTGCCGGCCTTTGGGGGGCCTCTTGGGGGTCTTTTGGGGCGATGTTTGGCGGTTTTGGGGCCGTATTGGGGATATCTTGGGTTCTTCTTCGAACTCTCTTCGGCCACCTTGGGGCCACCTTGACGCATCAAACACGCAGCGGAAGCGAAGAGGGGGAAATGCACACATCATTGATCTTCCTTAGGTTGTTAAAGGACGTTGGCTTCCTAGGAGGTCCTGAGGAGTGTTTGAGAGCATCTGGAACCGTCTTGTCGCCCTTGGACCCGCTCCAGAACTTGTCGATCCACGACTTCCAAAAGCTCCAGAAGGGGTGCGCCCGCTGTCTCTGGAAACGGCCGCCCTGCCGCCGCGCGCTCCCTCGGCGGCGGCCGTGCAAGTCGCAGCCGCCCCATGGCGTGCGCCGGCGCAGCAGCCATGGGGAACGTCAAGCAGTCGCGAGGCGTCCTGATTGTAGGCCCACCGAGGAATGTTCTAAGCAATCTTGTGGTCTGCGCGACTGGTTGCTCAAACATTTTTGGCTGAGACAGTTCTGTCTTCATCAGTTGGTTCGATGTTCTAGGAACATCGTTTCCCCCATAGCACTGCCACTTGTTCTCAGATGCATGTCGTGGTAGGCCCGAGGGAATGCCAGGACGGTCGGCCCCTGCCCAAAGATGCAGGCTGCGCGGCGGGCGCTGCCGTCCGCGGTGGCGGTTCATCCGCCCTGGGCGCACACGGTCAGCCAGGTGCTCGTCTCCACGCTGCAGCCCGCAGGCTCTATGGCGCTGAGGTCTGCAGTGCGGGCGCAATGCGCACAGCACAGGCGTTGGCAAGATGTTCTAGAGGAGGACGAGGTACCGGTACCGCTACCCCTTCCTCGTTTTCGCCTTTTGGGCCTTTTGGGAGGCCCTCGTCCCTCTGCTGGGTTCGCCTCGAAATTCTGGTCGGAACGCACCCTGGGAGAGGCCCACGGAGTTGTGGTATCGGTTTAGGTTCGGGGCGCACGTCATTCCCTCACGCGGACGGAGGTCGTCGTGCGACTGCTTCTTTGGACCGCAGTTTGTTGGAACACCGCGTGCAGCATGCATCGTACGACCGAATCCCAGCCACTACCGCACATGATGCACAATGACCAGAAGTGCCTTATATTGTCTCGGTTGAAAGGGGCCTCGCAGCAAACATGTTTTGTGGTGGGCTGCTTGTGCGACACGGAAGGGACCGACTCAACCGACAGTCTTAGGTAGAATTGCGTCATAGGTTGTGAGCCGCTGGCATGAAGGTTGTTGGTACACACGTACTGCCGGTAGCATGGTGGCTGGTCCATCAACATTGATTTAGCTAGTTGTCTTAGCCTTACCTCGCGACTTCATAGCAATAGGGGAACGGAAGCGCCCTCTTGTTCCGCATTCCTCCTGCTGATGGTCCTGATGTTGTTCCTGTGCGGGCTCCTGCTGCTGCTTTTTCTCTCCCCCTTCTGCATTTCCGTCGTATGGCATCCCCCTAAGCGACCAGGTTAAGCATCCAAGGCATCGCGACACACAGAACATCTTCGGTGTCTTGCACGACCCAGCCAGTTTCTCGTCGACCCCTTGTGCTTTCCCAAGTACCCCAGATGGGGCTGGTGTTCTTCTATGGGGTGGGAGTATCTCGCCGCGTTGCCAGTGTGTCTGCGAGGCCCTCCTCGGCGCCCCCCTCCATCTCCCCCCTCCTTATCGTCTTCGGCGCCCCCCACCTCTTCCCGTACCTCCCTGGCAGGACAGTTTGCGCAACCCTCGACTTGGAGACGATTGCATCCCCGCTTCGAGACTCGCGGCAGTAACTCCTGTGAGTCCAGCTCCCCCCCTTTTCCCCCTTCCGTCCCCCCACCTCCCTCCTCATGACTCGTGCCCAGTATTCTCTTCGTGTACCTCGCCACCCTCGGTCGTCAGCCTTCTCCCCCGCCCTCCTCCCCTTCCACATGGTCCTCCTTTCGTCCTAGTCTGAAGTCGGGCCTTTCCCTCTACAGGGGGAATATTCAATTATCCCAGTGCGACCCTACCTAGGAGTTGGAGCCTCTAGGAAAGCAACATTAGTAGGAGCGGTAAACGCCGTCCTCATCCTTCTTCTCATCGTCGTAGTTGTAGCAGTAGCGGTAGTAGTAGTAGTAGTAGTAGTAGTAGTAGTAGTAGTAGTAGTAGTAGTAGTAGTAGTAGTAGTAGTAGTAGTAGTAGTAGTAGTAGTAGTAGTAGTAGTAGTAGTAGTAGTAGTAGTAGTAGTAGTAGTAGTAGTAGTAGTAGTAGTAGTAGTAGTAGTAGTAGTAGTAGTAGTAGTAGTAGTAGTAGTAGTAGTAGTAGTAGTAGTAGTAGTAGTAGTAGTAGTAGTAGTAGTAGTAGTAGTAGTAGTAGTAGTAGTAGTAGTAGTAGTAGTAGTAGTAGTAGTAGTAGAGTAGTAGTAGTAGTAGTAGTAGTAGTAGTAGTAGTAGTAGTAGTAGTAGTAGTAGTAGTAGTAGTAGCGTAGTAGGCGTAGTAGTAGTAGTAGTAGTAGTAGTAGTAGTAGTAGAAAGACATTTCGGACATGCGATAATACGTCGGGTTTCATGTCTCCCGGCCGGTGCTATGTGCGAAACTTTCGTGAATCCTAAGGGCTCAAGTTGCCCCACTAAGGGCTCAAGATGGCCCACAGACGGACAACATGCATGGAACATACGTGCGCACACACATAAGTACATATGTATATATATATATATATATATATCCATCTATATAGCAGCAGCAGCAACAGTGGATGTTGTGCTGCGCTATGCTCTGTTCTGCTCTGCTCTGCTTTGTTATGCTATGTTATGCTGCGCAATGCTATGCTGGGCTAGGCCAGGCTAGGGTAGGCTATGCTATGCTATGCTATGCTGCGCTATGCTATGCTGCGCTATGCTATGCTATGCTATGCTTTTGCTTTGCCTTCGCTTTTGCCTTCACGTTTGCCTTTGCTGTTGCTTTTGCTTGGCACCCATGGAGCGCAACTGGGGGAACCACGCGTTTGCTTTTACCTTTGCTGTTGCTTTTGCTTGGCTCCCAGGGGACTGGGGGAACCGCCCGGGGCGATTTCCACTGCCCGGCCCCTTTAAGCCAAGAAAGTCAGAACCTTTCTAGGCAGAGCCTAGGTAGGGAAAAATAGTCAAAAAATAGTCAGGGGACAATGTTTTGAGTATTTTTTGACAATTTGTTTTTTTGTTGTTGTATGTTTAACTGTTCGACCAAAATCCCCCTGTAGGGGGACACGCCCGACTTAATCCTAGCCCTCGTCCACCTCCTCGTCCACAGTTCCACTCCCTCTTCCCTCCTCCTGCGCGCCTCCCTCCTGCCTCCTGCCCCCCTCCGCGCCTCCCCCCGGCTTCCCGCGCCCCCTTTCCCGTCTGTCTTGCTCATCGGCGTCCTTATCGTCCTCCCCCTCCTCTGATGGGCATTTGTTCCACGACCACTACCAGATGTAGAACGGGGGAGAAGGGAGGATGAGGAGGTCCTCCTCCTCCTCCTCCTCCTCCTCCTCCTCCTCCTCCTCCTCCTCCTCCTCCTCCCTCTCCGACCCATGGTAGTGGTGGTGGAAAATACGCCCATCATCCTCATCGCCCTCGCTGCTTTCCTCCTTCCTCCATCCTGGGCCAGCCTCGGAAGCTCAGCCCGCGGGAGCAGTCTCTGCAGATCTTTCGACGCCTGGCACCGCCCGGAGCACGGATGGGACCCGAGCGCGCGGCATGGCCTCTCTCACCGAGCGCGCTCCACTACTCGCGAAGTGTCCACTCGCCAATCGCCCGAACAAGAGCACACGTGTGCCTCGTTGTAATGGATTGTCCGGAGGTGGATAGACCTCCTTCCCTGACACGTCGATCAAGGAATTGGCCGTTTTCGGTTCGCGAGAGGGCGTCGCGGCCGCCATTTTTGCGGGTCCGGGTCCGTCGGTTTCGGTCCCAGGCCGTTTTCACTAAGGGGAGGTTTACTAAGGGGAGGTTTGTCCACCGCCGAATTGTATATTCCCCCGCGACGGACCCAAGCCATCTGGGGGCAGCTCCTTCCGCGAGTGGTGGAGCGCGCTCGTCTGCTCCTGCGCGGCCGCCGCCCCGAAGTCCGCCCCGAGGTCTCGTCGGCGCCGCCGCCCCCGCGGGCGCCGACGCCGAGTGGCTCCGCGGCGCCTTCATGGCGGAGGCCCCGAGGGGCGGCGGGGCACGCGGGGCAAAAATCCTCGGACGTCCGCGCGGAGGGCCCGCCCTCCCTCGTCGGCGGCGCCCGCCGGGCAGGGCGTGCCGAGCCAGCCAGGAGAGAGCCGAGCCCCCACTCCCCGGGGGCAGCGGTCGGGGGAGGGAGGGGCTCAAGGGAGGGGCGCAGCGACCCCCTCCTCCTCCTCCTCCTCCTCCTCCTCCTCCTCCTCCTCCTCCTCCTCCTCCTCCTCCTCCTCCTCCTCCTCCTCCTCCTCCTCCTCCTCCTCCTCCTCCTCCTCCTCCTCCTCCTCCTCCTCCCTCCTTCTCCTCCTTCTCCTCCTTCTCCTCCTCCTCCGCCTCCTCCTCCTCCTCCTCCTACTCCTCCTCCTCCTCCTCCTCCTCCAGGGAAACAAAAAGAGAGAGAGAGAGAGAGAAAGAGAGAGAGAGAGAGAACAACAAAAAAACGAAAAAATAAGAAACATCAAGATTCGGAGGTCCACCCCCCCAGTCGCCCACGGATCGCCGAGCGAGGCCGCGCGGCCAGTGCCCGCCCAGGCGCCGCGCCGCGGCGCGGCAGAGTCCGTCCGCGCGCCCGCGCCGAGCAGGCCGGGGGCCACCGTTGCGAGTGGCCCGGAGGCAGGAGGGAGAGGGGAGAGTCAAACGACGCGAAGATCCTCCTCCTCCTCCTCCTCCTCCTCCTCCTCCTCCTCCTCCTCCTCCTCCTCCTCCTCCTCCTCCTCCCCCTCCTCCTCCTCCTCCTCCTCCTCCTCCTCCTCCTCCTCCTCCTCCGGGGCACTCGGGAGAGGCAACGGACACCTGAAGAGCGCGGCACCGAGCGGAGAACATCCGCGGCCCCATGGGGGCAATTAAAACGGCGCGAGGATCGGGACAACATCGGATCGGGATATCTCGAAAAATCTCTGAGAGTCGGCGGGTTTGGAGGATGTATTGGGCGCCGCGGCCGCTCTCAGAGCGTTCCGGAACGCTCTGAGAGCGCTCCAGAGCGCTCTGGAGCGATTTATCCCGATCCTAGCCTTGTTTTAGAAAGGGAAGAGGGGCGGCCGCGAGAGGGGGGTGATGACTAGGGGGGGGGGATATCATGGCGCGGGCCATGATAGCTCCCCAGATTTCGTGGCGCCCCTTCTCGAATCATGACGTCCCTGGCCCCCCCGCTGGGCCGCGCACAGGCCGCCGGTCATGATTTGCACCCCCCCCTCTTGGACACCCCCCTCTTGGCCGCTCCCGAAGAGGGGAGAGGGGCGGCCGCGAGAGGGGGGGGGGAGTGGAGCCGAAGTGCGCGCCCCGCCCGCCCGCGGGAGAGCGCGCGGCTTCGCTGTTGCCCAGCGCCGAGCTGCTCGGGGACGCATCGCCGGCTCCGGCTCGAGGTTCCCCACACCCTTTGGAGCCAGCCACCCCCTACGGAACGACCCCCCCCCCCCGCAGCTGCTCCCGCCGCCCTCTTGGACACCCCCCTCTTGGCCGCTCCCGAAGAGGGGCGGCCGCGAGAGGGGGGGGGGAGCCGAAGTGCGCGCCCCGCCCGCCCGCGGGCAGAGCGCGCGGCTTCGCTGTTGCCCAGCGCCGGGCTGCTCGGGGACGCATCGCCGGCTCCGGCTCGAGGTTCCCCACACCCTTTGGAGCCAGCCACCCCCTCCGGAACGCCCCCCCCCCCCCGCAGCTGCTCCCGCCGCCCTCTTGGACACCCCCCTCTTGGCCGCTCCCGAAGAGGGCGGCCGCGAGAGGGGGGGGGAGCCGAAGTGCGCGCCCCGCCCGCCCGCGGGAGAGCGCGCGGCTTCGCTGTTGCCCAGCGCCGAGCTGCTCGGGGACGCATCGCCGGCTCCGGCTCGAGGTTCCCCACACCCTTTGGAGCCAGCCCCCCCCTCCGGAAACCCCCCCCCCCCCCCCGCAGCTGCTCCCGCCGCCCTCTTGGACACCCCCCTCTTGGCCGCTCCCGAAGAGGGGCGGCCGCGAGAGGGGGAGGGGAGCCGAAGTGCGCGCCCCGCCCGCCCGCGGGAGCGCGCGGCTTCGCTGTTGCCCAGCGCCGAGCTGCTCGTGGACGCGTCGCCGGTTCCGGCTCGCGGTTCCCCACACCCCCTTTGGAGCCGGCCACCCCCTCTAATGGAGGATGACGATTAATAAATGACCCGGGGTCGTGTTCACGCGGCGGCGCCCGGGAGGACGATTAGAAAAGACCCGCCGCGGGCTGGAAAACTATTTGCTTTCATCGTTCTCCGCCATTGAGAAACTTGTGCAGAAATGACAGAAAACTGTTTTTTGAATCGTTCCCCCTGCATTTTTTTACTAATCGTCATCCCGCATCACGGAACGCCCCCCCCCTCCCGCAGCTGCTCCCGCCGCCCCTCGCGTGGGCGGGTGGGAGAGCACCGGGCAGGGGTTCGCCCCCGCCGGGGCGAGGCCAGGACGAGGATGAATTCGACTGAGGATGAATCGGGAATCTCTGAGATCCCGCGCTTCCGGAGGATGTCTCGGACGCCGCGGCCTTCCAAGAGCGTCCCGTCCCAGGTTCGCCCCCGTTGGCGCACGCTCGCGGCTTTTCTGAGCTCCCAGAGGCGTCCCACGAGCCCCCTAGGATTCGGACCCGCAGGCTGCGCGTCACGAGGATCTGGGCAGAACGGAGAGCCAGAGCCACAGCGAAATACGTTTTTTCTCGAGGGCACCTCGGGGGAGAGCCCACAGGCCTCGACAGGAGCACCTTGGTCGTGGTTGTCGTCGTCGATGTGGCCGTCCCAGGACGCCAGATCGACCACAGCCAAAGCGAAGCTGGTTCCAGTATCCCGACATGCGCAAGACATTCGGGAGGGAGAAAAACACGCAGACACAATTAATCGTCGATCCCCCCGAAAATATGGGAAAATATGGGAAGTGGGGGGGAAGACAAAAACCCAGAAAATATGGGACAATATGGGGGGTATGTTTTATTTGTGTGCATTTCTTTGTGTGTCCTGGGGCCCCTTCAAAGGTGTGCCCTCGATGTGGTTGTGATCGATTGCCGTCCACGCGGAGGAGGGGGTCTGGCGCTGGCGCGACGGCGAGCACAAGAGGGGTGGCCTTCTGAGACTTCAGGGGGGAAAACAAGCAACAACAAAAAAAACAAGAACACCCCAACCCTGGCGACTAGCGTTTACTACAGAAGGGCCTTGGGCATTTTTACTGACCAGCGCCGCCCTGCCCGGCTCCTTCCTTGGGTGCGGTTGCTGGATGGGCTTCGCTCGTCGGGGTGCTCGCTCTGAGGGCGGAGGCCCTGCTCTCTAAAGAAGGGGGGGGGGTTCTGGGAAGGCCGGGTCCTTCTCTGAGAGGGGCCCCGAGGCTTCCGAGAGGGGCCTCTTTGAAGCCGACGGGGGGGGCCTCTGAGAGGCCGCCTGCCGTCCTCCCCCCCCCCTCCCCGCCTCTTAGAAAGCCGCCTCCCTCGCAGTCACCCCCCTTGGCTTGGCATCGCTCGGGCGTGTGCATCTGTCCTCGGCGAGGACCATCGTGGATCATGATGTTCCAGCCTACTTTAGCCTTGATCACCAGAAAGAATCTCGAGCGCCAGAGAAGTACCCAAGCACTTGAGGGTTTTCACGTGTCGGGCCCTGGGAGACACTCGCCCGACACTGTTTCGACACTATTTCGAAACTCTTTCGACACTTTTCGGGGTGCTCGAAATCATTTCTGAGATGTGGTCCTTGAGTAAGTACGATGGGAGCAACAGAAATCGAGGCGCATCTTGGATCGTCTCGTGGAAAGACGCTCGCACGAGGCCGAGAACAGTGCACGGGGGCCTGGACGTCCCAGCGAGGGCAGGCTGGTGCGCGCCACCGGTCGGCGAGGACACGGCCTGCGGACTGCCGGACCCCTTTGTTTTTCTGCGTGAATCTCGGGGGTGGACAGACCTCCTACCCTGACACGTCGATTACGGATTTGGCCGTTTCCGGTTCGCGAGAGGGCGTCGCGGCCGTCATTTTTGCCAGGTCCAGGTCCGTCGATTTCGGCCCCAGGCCGTTTTCACGAAGGGGAGGTCTACTAAAGGGAGGCTTGTCCACCGCCGAGAACCGGCGCCCGCCTCTCTCGCGAGGTATGGGCGCTCCTGCGCTGCATGCCCCGGGTCGCCACGGAGGCCCGCGCCGCTGCCATGTTGCCCCTTGGGGGCCCTAGTGCTGTGCTCCATGCTCCTCCTCCTCCTGCTCAGCCTCCATCTCTCTCTCTCTCTCTCTCTCTCTCTTCCCCATCGTTCAAGCAGTGGCGAAGCGTCCCGGCTCGCCTATAGCCCCACCAAACAATGCTCTAAGAACTTTGTGTGGTTCCCACGACATATCCTTAGAACATTTCTGGCTCGGACTGTCTTGCTTTAACACATCGGGTTTATGTTCTAAGAACCTTAATTTTGTAATTAGAACATCTTTGGGTTCTAAGAACATTTCGTGGTATGACCATAGGAATGCCGGGACGGTCGGTCCCTGTTGAAATCGTCGCCCTCCGTCCCCATCTTTCCTTCCGCTTCCCCTACCGGTCTCTTCGCGTCCTCTCCGTGGTCACTGGTTCTCGGTTCCTCCTCCTCCTCCTCACCATCTTTTGCCATCTTTTGCCTCACCCTCCTCGTTGTTTTCCTGCCCTCTCTCTGTCTCTCTCTCTCTCTCTCTCTCTCTCTCTATATATATATATACACCTCCGTCCCTCCCTCCCTCCCTCCCTCCCCAACCTCATCACTACCTCCCTCTCCTTCCGTTTTTTACCTCTCGTCTTTTTCCCCGTTGTCTCCGCCTCCTCGTTGTTTTCTTGCCCTCTCTCTCTATATGGTCCAGGCTTGCCCCCCCCCCCCAATGCTGATGCCATTGGGCCCCCCCCCCCCGCGCGATGGTCCCCCCCGCCCCCCCCTGTGGGCGTGGCGTGGTGCTGCGCTGCGGTCCCCCCCCCCCCTGTGGATGTGGTGTGGTGCTGTGGTGGTTCAGAGGTGGGCGTGGCGTGGTGCTGCGCTGCGGTGCCCCCCTCCCCCCCCCCTGTGGATGTGGTGTGGTGCTGTGGTGGTTCAGAGGTCGTCGTCGTCGTCGTCGTCGTCGTCGTCCTCGTCGTCCTCGTCGTCCTCGTCGTCGTCGTCGTCGTCGTCGTCGTCGTCGTCGTCATCGTCGTCGTCGCCGTCGTCATCGTCGTCATCGTCGTCGTCGCCGCCGCCGCCGGCGTCGTCGCCGCCGCAGCCGTCGTCGTCGTCGTCGTCGTCGTCGTCGTCGTCGCCGTCGTCGTAGTCGTCGTCGTCGTCGTCGTCTCTGGGACCATACCATCTGGGGGGGGGGGGCCCGAGGAATCCTGGGACCATACCATCTGGGGGGGGGCCCGTGGGCCCGGAGCCCGGGACCATATATACCTCCCTCCCTCCCTCCCTCCCTCCCTCCCTCCCTCCCCAACCTCATCACTACCTCCCTCTCTTCTGTTTTTTACCTCTCGTCCTTTTCCCCGCTGTCTTCGCCTCCTCGTCTGGCTCGTTCCCCTTTCCCCACCCCCTCCTCGCAGCATGTTTGGTAGTGCACCAGTTTTCGGTGTAGCCTCGAGTCTGGCGTCTCAGGCGTTCTGGATCCTTCCCTCGAGGATAGCCTCTAGGACCTCAAACGCGTAGCAGATGGACGAACTTGGCCCTCACGGAGTGTCTCGTCCTTCGGAACGCGTCTTGCCTTTGCATGTTGAACAGGACTTGCTGTCCGCGCCGCCGCGGCCTGTGTCTACTTGAGGCAGAGGGCCGCCTGCCCAGCAGCGGCCGCCGTTGGCTTGGGACGACCTTTTGTTGTTGGGCACTGTGCCCATATCTTCCGTGCCCATCTCGGGCGTCCAAAACTTCGGCGGCGCTTCGCACGGCTCGGGTCGCGCAGAGTGGGGCGGCCCGTGTCTGCGGCAGGCTTGAGTCGGGCATGTCCCTCGACAGGGGGAATCGTCCCAAGATAGTCCAAAAGATAGTCCGGGGACGATGTTTCGATTGTGTTTCTTTTCTCGTTCTGTTCGGGCATCTTTGGCGTGCTCCTCAGCTTTCGTCCAAAATCCGCCTCTAGGGGGACCTGCCCGACCTGATGCTAGGCCGAGCGGCCCAGCCCGTCGGCGAGGGCGGCGCGTCGCCGCACGGAGACGCCCGCCCCAGGCCGGCGCGGCGGGGCTGCAGGATATGCGCGTGCTGCCGGCACTCTCGGCGGAGGGCCGCTCTGGACGGACGGAGGGACGGGCCACCTGTGCGAGAGGGAGATCCTGCTCAGGTGAGCGCGGCTTATGCTCAGCAGACTCCAGAGTTCGTAATAGAAGGGAGGGGGTCTGGACCCTCCAAGACAAGCCGTTTCAGACCTCCCCCCGTGGGAGAGCCCTCCAAAACATCGTCCCCAGACCCCCCCCAGGCCCTCCAAGATAGCCTGGAAGAGACCCCCCCCGAAATGAGACCCCCCTCCCTCTATTACGAAATCTGGAGTACTCAGGTGAGCGCGGCTTATGCTCAGCAGAAGCTCTCGAGCAGCGTTGCGGCACACGCCGCGCGCGCCAGCGAAGCTGCGGCACGGCGCCCCTGCAATCTGCCAGCGGGCCTCCTGGGACGGAGCTCAGAACGAGACTCGCCCGGAGGGCCGCTGGAGGCACGGGCAGTTGGCCCTCTGGGAGCGGCCTCGTCACCACGGCGGGGCGCCAGCTCGGAAAAGCGGTGCGTTTGGATCCCGGGGGGGGGGGTCTGGGGGCCGATGTCGAGCCGGTTTTGAGCTTCAGGGATCTCAGCTCGCCCTTCGCCGGAGCGCGGTCCTCTGTGGGACCTCTGAGGCAAATGGCTGCGGAGGTGGGGAAGCGCTGCTGCAAACCCTTCTCTCCCGCCTGTGCTGAACCGTGTGCGCAGCTACGTTTCCAGAAACTGATCTCAGACCGATATGCACACGATGCTCGAAGCCCGTTTGCCACGCGGGCGGCGCCGCCGGACACAAGCGCTGGCACACGGGGCGTTTCGGAGCCGACCACCTGGACGGCACGTTGGCCGTGCGCCGACGTGTCACCCAGCCGAGTTCGGACAGCGACGGTGAGATCGAGCGATGAATGCATCGTCGCGTGAGCTCTTCGTCGACCGCGCTGGGCCCGTGTGCGCCCTCCAGAGCGCGGGCCAGAGGAATTCCCAGGCGACGGGCGTGCGCATCTTTGAGGGGGCATTCTGAAGCTCGTCCAGGCTCCGCGACGTCACTCGAAGAAGGAGAAGACATATAAACATAAACGTTCGGCGCTCCGTGCGGATTTCCTGGATCCGCGCTGGGCCCTCCCGGCGGCGACTCCGACGCCGCCCGTGGCGCGCTCCGCGCGCCAGGGAGGGGGTTCCAGCGCAGATCCAAGAAATCGCGCGGAGCGCCAAAAGTTGATGTTTATGGTGTTTTTGTTCCTGTGTGTAGTCAAAGCCACCAAAGCCCTAGCCCGCGCCACGCATGCAGATGTCGACGTGGAGAGGACCACGCGCTGGGAGCGCGCTTGCAATGCGGCCGCGGATGTGTGGGCCAAGCGCGGGGCAGCCTGGCAGCCTGCCACGGCATGCCCGCCGTGGCGCAGAGGAGCTGACGTTGATTCTTAGGCGACGCGGTCACAAAGGATTGTGACAACCTGAAAGCCCGGACTCATGAGCAGGAGGAACAGCAGCGGGTGGATACCGCTGACGCCCCAGGCCTTGCAGACGGTGCCGCCCAAGGGTGGGGCCGCGCTGCCCGCGACTGGCGATCGCCGAGGGGCAGCTGGCGTGCATGCAGTACCCTCGCTCTGCTCCAGGCTGCCAAGGCTACAGCCCCTGGCCAGCCACCCCAGACCTCGGTTGTATGCGTGGGGTGCGGAGCGTCTGGTACCGACACGTTGTGGGGAGCATGGGCACGTGAATTCATCGTTTATGGCGCTTTCGCGCTATGTCTAGCTGTGTTGTCCTTGGTGCCCCCCTCTCTCTGAATATTTTCTTCACGCCGTTGCCATGACTCCGCTTGCGCTGTGCGGGGTCGGTTGTCTTGGTGTCCTCGTGATCCTGCTCCAATGTTGATGCTGATGCTGTTGCTGATGCTTATGAATTGTGCCTGATGCTGATGCTATTTTTACCATGTTGCCTGATGCTGATGCTTATGAATTGTAATGTGTTTTGTTTCTCGGCGCGCGTTAAAAGTAGTCTGCGACGCGGGCTCTCATCCGGCATTCGTCCGCGCATCCTTTCCTCGTCCCCTTTCCCATCCAACCCCGGCTTCCAACACCTCCCTCTTTCATCATAGTCGTGCACTTGTCTCCCTCATCTTCCAGCTGGTCTTGCACGTTTACTTACACCCTCTCCTTCGCACGTTCCCTTCCGCTTCCATTCCCCCAGCCACCGATTTCCCCGCAATGCGCAATTGGAAATGCAGCCGCCATTGGTTACTGAATTGCGGATTCAACCAGCACTGACAGCATGGTATAACCCCATTTAAACATGTAGGCCTTCCTTCGCAACGTCGCTCGAGGCTCCGAATCGTCCTCATCAATCCTGGTTCATCGTGATCCTCCTTTGATTACCCTTTTCTCTTACCCTGTCTCAGCCCAATCCCCATTCATCTCCGCCTCGTCCTCCTCCTCGTCCTGCTTCCCCCCCCCCGCTTCCCCCGCCTCCTCCTCTCTGCCCAGCACCCATCACTCGATCCCTCCTCCGTCCTGCTCCCCGCTCTACGTTGCCATGGTTCCTCCCAGTGCAGTCGAAGTGACCCTCAAAGAAGCCTTGGGCAGGGAGCGGGGTCCCTTTCTTGCCATGGTCTGGCCGAGACTCGATCAAGGGAGGAAAAACCACCCGGATCCGACAATTGGCGTTTACTAAACGGCCTTGGGCCTTGTCCTAAACAGCCCTGCCCTGTTTGATTCCTTCTGTGGGCGCGTTGACTAAGTAAACGGCTTCGCGTGTCGGGGTGGTTATTATCGGGGTGGAGTTTCTGCCCTCTACTCGAGGAGCCGAAGGGATGACCGTATGAGCAACCGCAGGGTTTCCGAGTCGCTCACGAGCCCAGAGTGGTTTTTGTTCCATTGTGCTGGCCGTGCGGGGAACCCTTGTGGACGGGAGGCGTATCCACATCCACGGCCTCGCGGTCTGGACTCGTCGGCCGGGACCCCGTGGATGCCACGCAGCTCTGCACGGATGCGGCGCGTGGAGCGTAGCCATGGGATTGCGCAGCCTTGGGACCGTGCCTCGGCCTCCAGACCGCGGAGGCCTTGGTGTGGGCATGGTCGCCGTCCGTGAGCCGGGAGCCCCCCCGTTGCCGCCAGGAGCAGTTCACGATGACGTTCGCGTGGATGAGCCGGTTCAAGCGGCGGTGGGCAGGCGCGTCGCGCGGCTGCGAGAGTTGGAGGTGAGGAGGAGGAGGGTGGAGGGGGGTTCCCCTCCTCCTCCTCCTCCTCCTCCTCCACCCCGTGCCGATGACCCCCCAGCCTCCTTGGTACTCGAAGTGGTCGGGGACGCACGGGGCAGGCTTTCAGGGCCCTTTCTGGGGTCCGACGAGCACCCCGACCACGAAGGCCAGGGAGGGGGGGTCGGGGCGACGAAGGCTTAATTCAGCAGGCTCCCGCATGTCTGGTGTTAGCCAGGCCTGCTGCACGACTGGCGTTAGCCAGGAATCAAGGGGTGGGTTCGGGGGGGGCCAATCCAAATTCGGATTGCGTTCGCAGGACTGGCGTTAACCAGGACTGCTGCACGACTGGCGTTAGCCAGGAATCAGTTCAGGGTGTTTGGAGGGTCTCATAATTCAGCTGCCGCTGCACGACTGGCGCTTCGGCCCCTCATGCCCTGACCCATCATGCTGGGGCCTCGGCTGGGCCCTCCTGCGTTGACCCCCCGATGCTGGGACATTGGCCCTTCATGCGTTGACCCCTCATGCTGGGGCTGCGGCCCCTCATGCCCTGACCCCTCATGCCGAGGCCTTGGCTGGCCCCTCCTGCGTTGACCCCTCATGCTGGGACATTGGCCTTTCATGCGTTGACCCCTCATGCTGGGGCTTCGGCCCTTCACGCCCTGACCCCTCATGCCGGGGCCTTGGCTGGCCCCTCATGCGTTGACCCCCTCATGCTGGGGCATTGGCCCTTCCTGCGTTGACTCCCTAATGCTGGAGCTTCGGCCCCTCACGCCCTGACCCCTCATGCTGGGGCCCCACCGATGCACTGGCATGCGTTGGCATGCGTTGGCATGCATTGGCAGGCGTTGGCATGCATTGGCATACACTGGCGTGCGTTGGCATGCATTGGCATGCACTGACATGCATTGGCATGCGTTGGCATGCATTGGCATGCGTTGGCACGCATTGGCATGCGTTGGCATTCATAGGCATGAATTGGCATGCATTGGCAGGCGTTGGCATGCATTGGCATGCATTGGCATGAATTGGCATGCATTGTCATGCGTTGGCATGCATTTGCATGCGTTGGCATGCATTGGCATGTGTTGGCATGGGCTGGCAGGCGTTGGCATGCATTGGCCCCCCGCGTCTTAGTGGACCTTTGCCCCAGCAAGTTCACTTCCCTTCGGGATGCCGCCCCCTAGGAGCCCAGATCCAGGGATCGCTAAGAAGGGCTGAGGGGTGAGGAGGGAGGGTAAGGAGGACCAGCAATCGGACCAGCAGGATATCTGCCTGCAGGAGAGCGTGTTTTTCGGCCCCTGCGTCGTTGCTGGCGTTATCAGGTCCGTTGGATCGTTACCCTCCCCAGTTTTGAGTCATGATTTGGATCCCCCCTGTCGTACAGCCATGCCCCAGGGGATCGGCGAACGGGGGATACAATCTTGAACCCAACTGCCAGCCCGTGCTAATCCTCCTCCTCCTCCTCCTTCTTCTCCTACTCCTCCTCCTCCTCCTCCTCCTCCTCCTCCTCCTCCCCCCCTCCCCCTCCCCCTCCTCCTCCTCCTCCTCCTCCTCCTCCTCCTCCCCTCCTCCTCGTCCTCCTTGTCCTCGTCCTCCTCCTCCTCCTCCTCCTCCTCCTCCTCCTCCTCCTCCCTCCTCCTCCTCCTCCTCCTCCTCCTCCTCCTCCTCCTCCTCCTCCTCCTCCTCCTCCTCCTCCTCCTCCTCCTCCCCCCCCCTCTCCCTCCCCCCCCTCCCCCTCCTCCCCCTCCTCCTCCTCCTCCTCCTCCTCCTCCTCCTCCTCCTCCTCCTCCTCCCCTCCTCCTCCTCCTCCTCCTCCTCCGCCTCCTCCTCCTCCTCCTCCTCCTCCTCCTCCTCCTCCTCCTCCTCCTCCTCCTCCTCCTCCTCCTCCCCCTCGTCCCCACTCCCTCTCCCCCCTCCTCTTCCCTGGCCTCCATACCCCCCTCGCCGCGCGCGGCGGCGTCGGCGGGCCTCGGCACGATTTCGCGGTTGCCAGGCGTCGCCAGGGATCGGTCAGGGGGGGACGGGGGCGGGGAGGAGGCGGAGGCTCTCCCTCCTCCCTCCTCCCTCCTCCCTTCTCCCTCCTCCCTCCTCCCTCTCCTCCTCCTCCCTCCTCCTCCTCCTCCTCCTCCTCCTCCTCCTCCTCCTCCTCCTCCTCCTCCTCCTCCTCCCAGAGGCGGAGGAGGCGAGGCAGAGGAGGGGGGGAGACCCCCTAAGCCTCAGGGAGGCACCTTGCCCGGCGGGGCGCCGAGGCCAGGACCGTGTCGGGCTCAGGAGGGGCCCCGGACTCGGCACCGCTCGGACGTGTGCATGTTTTTTCTCTCGGCGAGGACCACCGAGGACCATCCTGGAGACCATCGAGCAAACAAAAAGAACACCCACGGAACCGAAACGTGCGCGGGAGAAATGGACGTCCGGGCGACGGCAAGTGGCTGTCGGGCCCGTTCCTCGGGCTCGGGCCGGGGAGCCTCGCTGCTGTGGCCGCGGCTCGCCGTGGCCAGGCAGGCCCCCTAACTATCGTTTCTTGCTCCGCGTCCCTCGGGGCGTCGCGGTGCTCGTGCCCCATCGGTCGTTGAAAGTAGCTTTGCTTTTGGATTCCCAGGTCGCGGTGCTATGTTTGCGATGTTTGTGCCCCATCGGTCGTTGAATCATGTTGTATTGTGTGTGCATCTCGTGGTGCCCTGTTGGTTTAGCCTCCGTGGCAGCGCACGTTTAATCTTGATTGGCGTCTCACACGTTTCACATGCATGGCGCTGCGGCGCCCGCCTGCGACGCCCTAGCTGGCGGCATCTGCAGGTCCGAATCCGAATCCGAATCCGAATCGGTCGTTGAAAGTAGTTTTCTTTTGGTTGGATTCCCGGATTCCCAATCTACTTGAAGCGCCTTCCTACTTCAGTGATCGAGAGGCTTCGCCTGTTCCGTCCTCCCAGGGGGGCCGCGAGCCCACCGCGGGCGTTCCAGGTCGAACGCCGCCGGTGGCCCAGCATCGGCCCCATCTGGGACGATCTGGCAATCGATAAGCCGCCGATCCCCGGGTTCGCCCCGACGCGAGGCCCATCCACAAAAATCCCAGGGCTGCGCCTGGCCCCTCCAGGCCTCACCCCCATACAGCGGAAGCCCAGGCCAAGCAGCACCCTGCTTGCCTCCAGGGTGCCCTGGGCTTCTTGGGTGTCGACGGTACTGCTATGGAAAGCGTGACGCTGCCATACCAGACATCGACGGATAACTCTCCTGGGGGTATTCAGGGTTGGGTTTCTTGTGGACGGTTTCTTGTGGTCGAGCTGCTGTGTAGCACCCGGAGGCTGGCCCTCTTCAGGCACATGGTGCTGCAGCGTGCGGTGTTCCCCTGGCGTGCGGCACGGGCTGCTGCGGTCGGACCGAGGCATACGGACGGCGATACGAACGGCCCGGGAGGAGGAGGAGGAGGAGGAGGAGGAGGAGGAGGAGGAGCAGGCGGAGGAGCGAGGAGCGAGGAGGAGCGAGGAGGAGGAGGAGCAGGAGGAGCAGGCGGAGGAGCGAGGAGGAGCGAGGAGGAGGAGGAGGAGGAGGAGGAGGAGGAGGAGGAGCAGGCGGAGGAGCGACGAGGAGCGAGGAGGATAGCCCTGAGTGCTTGGCGCTGTAGCTGCTTTCGAGCCGGGCGTTTTCGCCAGCCTTCGGGCCCCCGGACCCTCACGGCTCGGTCCGGCTCGAAGCGTTGCACGGAAAGACGGGGTCCAAGGCTCCAGGCGATACGATGAAGTCGGGCCTGTCCCCCTACAGGGGGAATATTCAAAAGTAGTCCAAAAATAGTCTGGGGACTATTTTTGAATATTTTGTAACCATTCTGGAGTGTTTTTGTTTACCATTTTTGAGTTTCGTCGAAAATCCCCCTGTAGGGGGACACGCCCGACTTAACGAGACGATCTGCGACGTTGTCATGTTTCGCAACGTCGGATCTCGGGTTAAGATCGAGGTCGGTTCGGGGAGGGTGCCCTAGTGCTCTTCGTGTCTGTTGGATGCTCTCGTGCATCGTGAGGGCGGGCCCCCTCGCATGCTCGTCCGTTGAGGCCGGCGGAGGCTCCCATGATCTTGAAGGGTGTCCTTCTGCCTTAGGTTTAAGTCGGGCCTGTCCCTCTACAGGGGGAATGCTCAAACATAGTAACAACAATAGTATGGGGACGAGTTATCTGTTATCTTTTGCAAACATCCGCCTGGGGGACACGCCCGAACCAATCCCAGGTCCAGCTGTATTCAAACACCGCCCCTCTGGCCGCCTGAGGCCCCGCCCGCCTGTGCCCTGTCTCCCCAGTTAGAGCTGTGCGTAGCCCGCCTAGCTTTCACCGGAAGAGGTTCGCTCTCGCCCCGCCGACCAAACAAAAATTGTCATCAAACGCCGTCCCGCGCCGCGCATCCCCGCCGGGAACCGTTCCCGCGCAGGGTGTCCCGAGAGAGGGGCGGCGTGGGAGCCCCCTCGGGTGGGGTCGGCTCGAGCCTCCCCGAGCGGTGGCCCGCGCTGGACTACTCCTCCGGGAGCATATGTTTTCGAACTTCTCGGGGGGCCTTCGGGGGCCCCCGGGTAGCGGTGTCCTATCGTCCCTTCCCTTGCCCGAAGGGTCGTCTCCTGCAGACCTCTTGGGAACTCGCTCGAACTCGTGAGGCGCTCTTCCCGGCATCTGGGGCTCTCTCTGAGGGTCCTGCCGGGCATCTCGTGGGGGCCATTTTGAGGCTGTCCTGAGAATGGGAACGACGGAAACATTTGACGGTTCAGAAGGGTTGTGGCGTGTGGCCTCTCGAGGGCATGCTCGGGAGGCTCCATTATCACATCACGCAGTGGTGAGGCGGCATTGGGGCCTCACGCAGCCATGCTGGAGGCCATCTCGAGACCATCTTGCGCCACTTTCGAGCGGGCGCTCAGCAGTTTTCTTTGTCACAGAGCGCACCACTCAGGACTGCCAGCAGGTGCCAGCACGGCAGCGCACGATCCCCCAAGGGCCCC